TAACATTCTTCCATGACTGTCATCTTCCGCAAGTTGTTCCACGCCCAAGAGATCTTCGGTCCAAATTGAACATCTAGTACTGCTATCATAAGCATAAGCAGTGCGAGAGCAGTTACTTAAGCAGACTGATCCACATTTCTCAACACTCGTAACCTCCACAGCCTGTTTATTTTCAGGCATTAACATGTTATGCATTTCTAGGAATCTGTCTTCCGTCCCACACTGCAAACTCGTTTTTCTTGAACACCCATCAGAATAATCCTGCAAATACCAGTCCAGTGGCGACTTTGGCTCAAAACCCATCAAGCAAGTGCAGAGGGGCCCTGATGCATCATTGCAACTCCCGAATGCGCCACAAGTCGCATGAACTTCACATTGTCTTCTTGGTTGAGACCAAAACAAATTCCATTGCCTGGTATTCTCCATCCATGACAATAATTGAACCTGCCCCATGACAGACATCAAGCATCGATATACTAGCTTAGGATCATAAGGAGAATAGGTGAAGTAACTTATGTTTTCATTTGTTACATATCTGAAATTATACATAGAATTAAGCCTCAGCTCAGGATCCAACCTGAAAGTACGCGAACTTGCATCCCATGATCCGCTGGTCCAATACTGTATAGTCCTATTCCACCATATGCTATATGAATTGCTTCCATCTTGGTTTATCCCAACATACAAAAGGCCCGATGAAGGATCCTCCGAATTCTTCCATGAAGTGAGAAATTGGGTTTGTTTGGTAATTTTGTTGAATCCAAGTTGACCTCAGGGTAACCATGTATGAGTGGGATGATCGAAGCTTTGGCATAAAGGCTCTGAAGTATTATTACTAGACCCCGCTCTCAAGACAAGGTTTCCACTATCCCAAAGAACCATTTGGACAGAACCAGAATTGATGGTGGAGTTTAAATTTGTTGACCAAACTGGGGTTTTGGACTCGTTAAAGACAACTAGATTACCATCTACGATCCTCAACGCCGAAGAAAATCTTTCGGAGACTGGTATTTCCCTATTTGCTACCCAAACTACAATCCTCTCAGATGCTACTTTCTTTGAGTACCATATGCCTATATAGTAGTTTGGAAGCTGACCTACTTTAGGCAAAAGATATAACCCTATGCATGGTACTTGAACTTAACCTATATGCCCTTTTCGTGGTGATCAATTCAAGTCACCTATATGCCCTTCGCATAAAAAATCTTGTTTTTATACTCACGTTGGTTGACTGCACTTACGTATGTGAAGTACATGCGACTTGTGAGCCCTGATTTATCATTGCAACCCATGAAACAACTACATATGAGCCCAGATTCACCATTGCAACCCCAGAAGTCGCACGTTCAGCACGCAGCTGCCATTGTGGACCAAGCCTATGTAGAAAAAGCAATGTATGGAAAAGGCTTGAACATTGTTCTTCCCGTGTCAAAGCTTCTGTTCAAACTCATCAATGCTCAACCATGTGAAACCCTTGAGGCAGCACCTACCCAAAACCCGAGAAGAGATAGAAGTTTGAGTTAGGATTAGGACATGTTCGAGTTAGATTGCTTCGACTGCAAGCTAATGTACTATACTAAGCACTTATGCTTGCTATGAGTTATGGTGCACGTATATTTCAACGGGGCTACATACGATCATGATGTTGGGAATGAAGGCTCTAAGCTGATTTATTAGAGTTAAATTATTCATGCTGATGTGTAAATTAGTTTGTCACTGTTGAAGGGCTGTGATTAAGTTTGTTAGAGATCTTAGGCTCAAATGTGAGCAAGCGGCATCGTCTCGTAGGGCACTGTTTGAATGGTTGAGATGAGTGATGAGTCAATACAATATTATATGTTACCATAATCTTAGTTTATTTTGGTTATTATTTTGAAAGAATTTTGATATTTTAAATTGTATTTTTAATGCAAGACATTGGACTTCCTCTTAAGCAAAAAGTGATCAAACAAATGAATTTTGGAGTGATTTCAATTGAAGGAGTCTTTCAAGATGATTGTGCCAAAATTCCAAATTATTCTACCAAGCCGTTTGACCGTGGCAAATAAAAGAAGGCCCAGCACACAGCTTTTCCGAATTGACGTTTCTAGACGCTTTGAGTATTTGAAGGTCAAGATGGCATATTTTGAGGAAGATTCCTTTTGATGATTTGTTCGGAACGTCTCAAGCTTTAAAAAGAGACATTTTGGGACCTAATCGGAGTTGATTTGGTTGGTCAAAAGATGGATTTTCTCTGCAGTCCGAATTTCAGTTTAAATAGGAGACATTTTATTTCCTAGTTATCTTATTCTACTTGGCCATTAGAGAGACCAACGCATTATTTTATAAAACTTTTTCTAGGTATGATTTTATTTTGTGGTAATATAAATAACTTTATTTGGCCATTAGAGAGACGAACGCATTATTTTAGAGAAGGCGCTACTTTGAAGAATTTGATGATTCAAGTTTATTTTCAAGGTGTTTTCAATCTATGATCTTAATAATATTTTGTTTTATAATTGTTAGTAACTAATTTCCATTTGCTAGGACAAGGCCACAAGCCTTAGTAATAATATGTAATTTCTTTTCAATTTGCTTATAATATTATACATGAAGATTTTGAATTATTAATCACTGTGTTAAAACTATATAATTGTCTTGATGACTGATCACCATTAGATATTTGGAAAAGTAGTTTGATGCAATTTTGGCGAAGAGTTGTCCTGACTTCTTGTGGTTAATATATGTAACTTCTTATGATAGACGCCACGACTTAAGAGTTACACGGTTTTTCAAAATGTTTTCACAAAACTTAATGAGTCTTGAATGTTCACATTTAATTTGAATACCATAAACAGATTGCATGTTAAATATAAATTTTATGTTTGCACAAGCGTGATTCTCCTGCAAACTATACAAAATCTAATTCTGTCAACAATAAAAAGATTAGCAGCATCAACCCGAGTCACAAAAAGATTAGCGGTCCGACCCGGTTGATTCTCCTGCAAACTATACAAAATCTAATTCTGTCAACAATAAAAAGATTAGCAGCATCAACCCGAGTCACAAAAAGATTAGCGGTCCGACCCGGTTCGCCGGTCCGACCCGGTTCGCCGGTCCGACCCGGTTCGCCGGTCCGACCCGGTTCGCCGGTCCGACCCGGTTCGCCGGTCCGACCCGGTTCGCCGGTCCGACCCGGTTCGCCGGTCCGACCCGGTTCGCCGGTCCGACCCGGTTCGAGCGGTCCGACCCGGTTCGAGCGGTCCGACCCGCTCCAAAACTGGAAAACCGATCCAAACAACCTGTGAGAGGGCCGTTTTAAAACACAGAACTCGTTCTTCCTATTGCGCCACCGTTCCTAACAACGTACCGGAAACAGATGCTTTGTAGGGAGACGAATTAGAAAAAAATTTGGGACGGTTGGTAAGAATCAACAGCAGCAATTAACAACAAAACAAACAAGAAATCAAATTAGGAGAAAAACAAAACAATTAACACAAAAACATTCGCAGTAAATATTAAAAAAATTAAAACCTCAGTTAAATCCATAAAATTCATATGAAATGCAGTTTCGCCGAGGGGTTCTCCCTTCAAACAGGGTCTCAGTTCCACTGTACCTCCAACAGACGGATTCAATCATCATCGGCAACACAAACAATAAAAAAAAAAAAATCAAATAAATTTATACACAAAGGGCTCAGAGTATGAAACAGCTCTCTCGATCACGAATTTTCTGAAGCAGAACTGGCATAAAGCTGTATAATTCAGTCATCAGCGCCAAAATTAACCAAAAAATCCAACTTTTCAAACACACATACCAACAAATCACAATACAAATTGGCTCATATCAAGAAATTCAACCATTGATTATCACATTCTACTTCATCGATTGCTCTCAGAAGCGCGGATAGTTTGTAATCAAAGCCAAAAATTCAACAAAAGATATCAAAATCCACAAAAATATTTAAACAAAATTAGAAAATTTAGCGGACGTTTTTAGAGGAAAAACTATGAGAAGAGAAAAACCCCCACGTGTGACACCGCCATTGGATTTACGCCTCCATGACTAGCTCAGTTTTCGGAGATTTTTCGAAAACAGGCTTAAGGTGTGTCGAGGCGCGTCGGATCGGATCGGATCGTATGAAACTGAAAAATTGATGAAAATATTTAGGGTTTTGGGGGAGATGTAGCCGTCGATTTGACACAGAAAAGCCGTAGGGAAGAGCGAGGCTAAGCTGCAACACTTGACGGCGACGTTCTAGCACGAGCATTGGGGCTTTCTTCTTCAGTGAAATATACTCTCAGAGAAGCCCGGGGTGCATCGTGCATGATTGCAAACTATAAATTGCAGAAATTAAAGATTAGGTTTCGATTGCATGAAGGGGAATTGGGAGAATTCTGGACGAGAGGGGTAGAGGAGGCTTCGATGGAGAATGGAGAGTTTGAATAAGGAGCGGGGGTTAGTGTTGTTTATATAGGCATACAATGCCCTACGGAAACCCTAGGGTTTCTTCTTCGCGATTGTTACGGTGCTAACGGCATCGTTTTAACATTCATGGTCCAATAGTCATCTTTTTACGAATTTACCCCTCCACGGTCTTTGTTCCACTTCGGCCCTTTTAGTTTCAGTTGTTGCGTTTTGAACTCATATTGTTGCAAACTTGCAATTCAACCCCGCAATTCTGCAATTTTTTCAACATGATTATTACGCAAGAGGCATGTGTGGTGTTTTTACCTCAGGCTCAGAGAAGTCCGATTTCCCTCAATGTCACTGACGAGCTACTTACGACGAAAGATCGACAAATGTAACCATGTAAGTAACATTGTCCTTGAATTGCATAAATTAGCACACTACAAAGTCCACAATCTACGAAGGGTTAACTCGAGACAACTGAAACTGCAAGACCAAAGCAGAACTTCGCTTAAACTAAATGGACTGCACTCGTGAATTGGCGTCTTCTTACTTGAGAGCCAAGCATTTATAAGTGAGAAGGCCGTAAAAATCGAATTTGGCAAGAAACTATAGAAACATTTTCGGTTTGAATTCTATGGAAGGCTAGCTACTTGAAATTTCTGATGTTGTACAATCACTGAATTACAGAGAGAACACTTTTGACATCTCATATAATGGTATTCTTACACTCATACTATCATCCATGTCAAATGCCGGTAGCCAGCCCACTTAGCAGCAAGACGAATTCCGATGGCTAAACCTGCACCAAGCAAGGGCATTGGAAGCTTCCTGTTAGCCACTACAATTTCCTCCTCCGTATCTGATACCTTCTTTGAGTGATGAAAAATGGCCAAGGCCAGATACGATGCGATCACCAAAACTCTAACCCATGGTTCTCCTATGGCAGACATCACAGCTGCCGCAGGCAATGCGGACGTAACATCATCCCTCTTTTTAACTAATCGTGAGTAACCGTAGAACCCTACTAGAATCGTCCAGAATAAAGGCTCTGAGATGTAACCTGCCACTGCTGCGTAGCCTACTACACCAGATGCTGTGAGAAGAAAAGGTTGACAGTTTACAGCATTTGGAACAACAGCTTCTGCGATAGCAAGAACAGTTGATGCAAGTATGATCATTGTCATCAACTCTGGAATTGGAGCGTATGCCACTATGCCAGAGTAGAAAGAGCGTATGGCATACAATGTTGTTTCTATGAATCTAATCACGGAAGTAATGGGATCTCCAATGAAATGAAAGATTAGAGCCAGGATAAGTTTCAAAAGGTATCCCACAAAACGGACAACGCCCTCAGCAGCCTTTCTCCAGTTAGCTAATTCCAGCAAGACAGCTCTCCATGCATAGATAAGGAAGACCAATGCTGCACGATCAATGACAAATAGTATTTAGTCAGCTGCATAAACCATTATAGTGCAATTTGTATACGTGAAAGCCTCAACCGGAAAATAAATAACAAAAAAATTTATTTCAGCTTCAATTGAGGCTTCAAAAAGTTATAACTAGAAAACATCTCATAACACCACTGACGTGTGCACGTATCAGGAGCTAAATAGTCTAAACCAATACATTAAAGTTTCATCTCGTCAGGTTAAGTACAATATCACATCAATAAAGTCAGTGCTCAGATCTGTTTTACTCCAGAAACCAGTGCTTTCTTCCCCCTCCTAACTAGTTTTTAAATTTCACAAGCATCCCGATTCACCAATTTGTTCTATACTCATACAATCGCAATGAAAAAGCATTTGTCGGAGAGAATGCTGTCAAACATGAAGAAGTAAGACACATTAATCAGAGCACTAGTCTAAATCATCTTTCACAAACCCAATAAACTTAATTGTGTTACAATGTGTGAAGATTAAGTCATGAAATATCCCCGATCAGAATGAATGTAAAACTATGAGAAAACACAATTAGTTGAAGTTTCAACCACATTGTAATGCCTACACATATTACAACCTGCTAGCTCATTTTTCAGATGCTGGTGACAAATTCATATACTTTTCTTCACATACGCATCAAACATTTCCAAAATTCGAGGAAAGTCATGGTAAAAAATGTCAATATACTTTCTAACAAGAAATTAACCAAACAAGCTGTATTTATACATGGAAGCAAGTCCCTTCTGTTCTCAAATCTTGGGGCATTCGACAACAATCCCAAATACTCAAACTTTCTCTGTTTTCTCTCTTTCATTTACCAACATTTTCTCAGCAGCTAAACAGATGGTAAAAAGAAAAAGAAAGAGAGCAGAACAGTTTACCTACAAGCCAAGGCCACCTGACAGGAGGGTCAGGAGCTTCCTTGGTCAAGTACCTGAACCGCTCAGGCATAGTACTCTCCCCTCTGCTCTCCTCCTCAGCTGCATCAACACCCTCATTTTTCACACTCGCACGAACCCTCAACTTTCTCTCAAACAAAAACCCATTTGTTTTCCAGGAAAACCCAGGAAAATTCTGAGCTTGTATTCGGTTCAAACATTGGAATTTGGGTAAACTGCGAAAAGGGATTCTTTGGGTATGAGGTTGGATTCTGGGGGGAGTAAAAGAAGTGACTTTGAGTCTGAGAATGGAGGGGGTTGGAGCGGAGATGGTGGGAATGGAAGTCGCCATGGCTTGGGATTAGAGGGGTTTTGCTGCCATTACCGGTAGCAGCGATGGAGCTGCAGAATTTGGTGTTTTGGGGTTTTGAAAGGTTTCGACTTTTTGTATTATGGCCCCAAAACACTTCACAATTGGCCCATGTAACACTAATAGGTCCGGTCCATGGAAATGGAAAGTGATTTCCGTACTCTCGTTTTTTCCTCATAAATTTATAGCTTATAGATTGAATAAAATCAAACAAGAGAAAATAAACAAGGTATACTGTATACATAAAGGAAAAAAAGGTGTGCGAAAATTCTTTCTTAAGAGAAAAACTTCAGTAGGACAGTCAACTCTATTGGATTACATGTGTTAAACCATGGGCTAGATATACCAGGTGGCATTGTCATGCTGTGTATATGATGAACATAATATTGTCTCCTTGTTTTGGTTCACCGGGACCATGACAACTTCTTATTGGCCGATCGCACACGATTGACTATGTGACGTTGAACATTCACTATTTGCACATTTTTGTTCTCCTAAATTAGAATTTGCAACGCGGTTGTTTTAAATCCCAAAAACATTGAATCAAGGGCTTTAATTTTGTTAGGGATGACACATGACATGTAAGAATGCATTGGTGAAAACAATTCTAAGACGAATGAAAGCCCTTGATTCAACAAGGCAGCTCACATACAATGTTGAGTTGAGTCATTCAGAAATTCGGTATTGAAAAAGTGATGAACAATTCTAGACAGAGACACTTCTGTTGGATCGTTGTAACTGCGTGCGTTCTTTATCCACGCAGCGCAAAATAACTCTTAAGAATATATTTTTACATATACATCCGGGGACCTAAAGCAACTCAATGTATCTTCACTCTTCACCGTCTTCAAATTTCAGTAAAAAACCAGAAAATTCGTGTTGAAAAAATGAAGACATCTTGAAGCTTGCCACTGGTTCGAAAAGAAATTCCTTCCTCATCATCTGATCTCTCCCAAAAACGCTGCTTCTTCGTTCTCAATGTCGTAGATTAGGGTCAGATATTTGACAGGCGAAAGAAAGCTGTTCGCAGTAAGGCGAAACCTGATAACTTCCCAACACCTGAAATTAGTCTTGATAAACCACCCAACTAGTGCCAGATGATGCCTTCACTCCCTTCTCCTTCATTTTCCTTCTCATTCGTTGCGCTTCCTCATGCCTGCCTAAGCCAGAATACATTCTTGCCAATAGTAAATAATTGGCAGGATTATCAGGTTCAATTTCGGACAGAGCTTTCCCTGCAATCTCAGCAAGGTCCAAGTCTCCGTAAGTTCTACATGCTGAAAGAAGAGCACCCCAAGCTTTAGCAGTCACCTTCACTGGCATTTTCCTTATGACCTCATATGCCTCATGCAACCTCCCTGCTCTGCTCAGAACATCTACTAAACAAGAATAGTGATCACTATTTGCTTGCACACCATAATCCTCATGCATCCGACCAAAATAATGCAGTGCTTCATCTGCTAATCCTTCAGCATGGCTGCACGCCTTCAGTACCACAAGAAAAGTAATCTCATCAGGCTCTACTTTCCCCAATTCCATCTCTCTGAAAATTTCCAATGCAGTTCTTGCCTCCCCATGAAGTGCATACGCAGACATCAGACTACTCCATGCAACCACATCCTTTTTCTTCATATAGCGGAACAGATTACGCGCATTTGCAAGACAACCACAGCGCCCGTAGGCCTCTACTAGGCCACTACTCAATTGGGAATGTGAGTCAATCTCATTTCTCACATCATAACCATGAATTTCCTTAATAAACCTTAAAGCCGCTATATCAACAAAAGCACGTAACAGAGCAAGCAGCGTTATTAAATCCGGTTCCCTTCCGCACGCTCTCATTTTCCTATAGAACTCGACAGCCTTAAACGACCCATCATCCAATCCTGACATACCAGATATAATGGTATTAAAAGTTGACACATCGGGTTCAACATCCATTGCGTCAAACAATCCCAAAGCATCGAACACATTACCGTTACGCGTATAAAGTGATATCATAGCATTCCACACAACAACATTCCTGTGAGCAATTTCATCAAACAGGTTGCGTGCGGTCGACAATAACACGCACTTGCCATACATGTCGACAAGAGCAGAAGCCACAAATGGGTTTGATAGGATGGAAGATTTGGCGACATGGGCATGGACGGATACGCCGAGTTGCGGGCGGTGGACGGCGGAGCAGGACTTGAGAACAAGAGAGAAGACATGGGGGTCGAGAGATAGAGCCAGTGAGGTCTGCATGTGGTGGAAGAGGGAAAGGGCTTCGTCATGACGACCTTGGCTGACATGGGAGGTTAAGAGCTTGGTGAAAGAAAGCAACCGTTGGAAGTTTGACTGGTTGTAGGACCCCATGTTGTTCAGTGCTTTGGGGATCAATCAAGTATTTAGCATTGAACAAGCAAGTTAGTTAGATCTTTGTTCCCTGATTTAGGGGAGGGACTTAGAAAAGATACCCTGGGATATATTAACTATGTCGTTTATTTATATTGTTATACGAAAAATGCTAAGGAAATTCTCTCCAAAGTGAAATTATTCACTATCTGTCGCATCATGTTTTTGCACAATGTTTTATGATATTGGTATGATAATGTTAAATTATGAGGTGACGGAAAGTCCATAAAGAGTCATACTTTTAAAAAATCTCCTTAACATTACATTGTATGTTATTGAGTTTCGGGTACACATAAAAGTTTCTCCTCATATTTTACTCAATTAGAGTTTATGTGTGAGAGTTAAAAATCCACAAGTCCTTGAATTCATCATAATCAGAAGCAATGGCTTTTTAGGTAAAGACTAATGCTAAGGAGACTAAATTTTTAGACTACGTTTGTATATCATGTGATGAGTTACCAATAAGAAATAAGCACTTAATCAACACTTAATAATTCAATCATCAATAATAACATCATATAACTCACAAAATATGGTTTAAATAAACGGTATCTTTAGCATATTTTGTAAACCATATGACACATTTGTTGACGATTAAATTATTACTTAAATGATGATTAATATGATAATTTCATATTTGTGACATATCACATGATTTACAAACATGATCTAAAAAGTTGGTTCCATCTAGATGTCATAGGCTCAAAAGTTCTATTAACTTGAAATTCTAATTTCTCAAGTTGCCCAATATTTTCCATATTTACAAATGAGATGAGACTTTCTTGCTGATTCCCGCACTTACCCTTTTACTTTTAGGAAAGTAAATGTCCTTTCACCTACCGTTTCAACTAAACAAGACGGGAAGACAAATATAACCTCTCTTTTTTCAACATAAGTGACATGTGACATGTGACATTGAGGTGAAGGGAGAATCGAACAAATAACTTTATGTAAATTTATTTTGCAACTTGAGGTTGGCGACATTATCAATAAATTAAAATAGTTTATAGTATATTGTTAGAGAAAATTAAAAAAATCAAAACAAAAAGAAATTGTAAGTTTATGAAATTTAGACCAATCCCACATTTCTTTCTCAAAACAACTTCCTCTTCAAATTCACCCCTATATCCTTAAAAGAAAGAGTATGATTCAAAAAATTGAAATTATTATAAGCATTTTGTAACATCATCATGCACTTTTTTTTTTTTTTTGGGCAGGAAACAATTATGGATATGCATGGGAAGCACCAAATATTGAACAAAAGATTTCGAGTATATGATGAATATTTTTTTTGTCAAAAGAATATTTTTTTTTATCAAACGATAAATTTTGTTAGATTAGATGTTATATTAGCCAACAACGTGGTTTGAACCGATGATGTCATGCAAGAGCTCAACACTTTTTCATCACTGTAGTAAATAACTATTTGCGTATGATGAATATTTTTAACCACTTGAACTACAACCACCGTAAAAACGTACTACAAAATAAATTTTCCCTCAAAATTACCAATACACCACTAAAAATGGAAAAGTATGCATAGACCCCTGAAGTTTTGGTAATTACGACAAAGACCCTGAGGAATAATATAAAAGAGCGGGCCATATACTTGCGGGGAAAGAAAGAAAAGCCGACCGCACCAGAGTTTCTAAAGAGTGCGAGAGAATCCACAACACATCTCGAGAAGCCATGGCGGCCGCCTTGGGCTGCCGCCTCAGCGTTCTTGCCTCCCGGTACGTGTTCTTCCTCCTTACAGCTACACTTTCTTTCGTAGTTTCGTTCTCCGAAAATCATCAAAATTTGGAAACCAAAAAAAAACGATTGTTTATGTAAATCGCCAGAGAAAACGCTGTATTATGCTAAAAGTCGTTTCCTTTTTTTTTTTGGAAAATTAGATTCAAAAGAAGGAACAAATTCTGGGTTTCGTTTGCCTCGTCCTTTTTTCGCTTTTCGATTTATTAATTCCTGGAAAAGTGAAGAATTTGGTTTTTTTTTGGGGTTGTTATTTGTTAATGGTGTTTGTAATGTTTTTAAATAATTATCTCAGTGTTTTAGCTGTGGTAGGTTGTTTCTGAATTGTTTTTCTTGATGCAAGAGTTTGATTTTATAATTTTCGGAGGTCAGGAACGAAAAATTTCTTCGGAGTTAGAGAGTTTTTGATGTCATGTGAGAGGGAACAATTAGGAATTTATGAAAATTTGAATGTAGTTTAGAGGTTTGTTACATGAGCTGAATATTGGTCCGTAATTTAGCACTCTTCTTTTAAGCTCAACTTTTAAATTCAAGGTCGAAAAGTAGGTCTGTTGGTAATTAGTAGTTGATTTCTTGTTTATAGGCGTATGAATATGATATCGATTTAGAGATTCTTGGCAATGGAGTATAAGTTGTGTTTCTGCTGCATATTTAGATTCTTGGCAATAGAATGTGATTAGTTTTTATGGGCAATTTTAAGCGGTCTGAATTTTTGGTGAAGCCTTCTTCCCCTGTTTGCCTGCAGGATTAACATTCTCCGAGATTCTTAATTTTAGTACTTTTTTCATTGAGTTAATATATCATTTGTACTGTTTGCATTATCGCCTTAAGTGTGATTAAGTAGGGGACACACTTGAGTTGCCTTGCTTTTAATCTGAAACAGAGTGTGACATTTGGGAACATCTTATTTGTATGTGTTAAGGGAAGCCATAACTAATTTCTAAAATTTGTTTAGTTTGGAGGATCGGAATGACTTTTCAATCAGTAAGTGATGGTGGAGATACCAAAAGAAATCGGTTTTGTTGAATCTTTAATTACCAAAAGAAAGGATGATATTGAGCTTACGGAATAGTCGTGTTAGAGATGTTATGTGAGGAGCTTTTTCCGAGGCTTGGAAGACAGATTCTAACCGATTTCAATTGTTCCCGAGTATTTGTACAGAGTACGGCAGTTTTATTTTTTATAGTCTTGAGATCCACCTTTTCTTTTTCTGGTCTGGAATAGGGACAATTATTACCAGCATTTGAGTAATGAAACAAGAGTGTTGCTAAGTGTATATGATTGTTTCCCAGCTCATGTTAATCGATTATATTATATTGGTCTTTTAACTAGGTACAAGGATGTGAATCTAAATAGACAGAACAAGCGCAACGGGGTTGCATGCAGATCTAACTTGAATGCAATGCCTATACTGTCAAGCAGCAGGAGTCTACAACAACGTAATCACAATCTGCATTCCTGGGCTCCTAAAGGTATGCAAAGTTTCGTACTGAGTATCATCCTTGTTTCTCCTATAACTTGATTTGAAATTAGTCAGTTAGGTATACCAGAAGCAATGCCTTTAGATAGGAGCGTCTTTGAGATTTGTTATGTCCTTATAACCCCAAACTTGTAATTTTCAGGATTGCCAAGCTTGCAGCTTTCTTCTACGTCATCCACACTGTTAAGAGGGGACCAAGGCGATCGGTCACACAACATATCTGTGTTACCAAGACAACGGAAATCTTCAACATTGGTACAAGCACAGAAGAGTAACTCCATCAGTATACCTTTTCCAAAAATGAAAGAGAAGCCAGAATGGTGGTGGAGAACTTTAGCATGCTTCCCCTACTTAATCGCTTTGCAGATGTCTGATACCGGATTTTATATTCAACCCTTCGCAGAACACTACGAATTGTTTGGAGACTTGGTTTATTATGTCCCAGGAGCAATAAAGAGGTTACCGTATTGGTTCACAATGATATATTTCTTCTTCGCATACTTTGGAGTGGTAAAGAGAAAAGAGTGGCCTCACTTCTTCAGGTACCACGTAATCATGGCAATGCTATTAGAAACAATGCTGCAAGTGGTGTGGTACTCGAGCAATTTTTTCCCGCTTATACACTTCAACGGCATATTCGGCATAGAATACTGGGCGGTCGTGGCATTCGTGTACGTTTCGGTCTTGCTCGAGTGTATACGGTGTGCTCTTGCCGGCAAGTATGTTAAACTCCCATTCTTTAGTACCCCTGCTTTAGTCCATACTCTTTTCCAAGTAGAAGGATACCATAAACCTTTCTGAAGAGTTGTATCGTTTAGGTCACAGTCTGAGGGAGTTGTATCGTTTAGGTCACAGTCTGAGAAGTTATATTGTTGTTCTAGAGTGTATCATTTAGGCACACTATCATTTTTCATGTGCATCTGCCGGTATCACTTAGCTATGCGCTTTATATGAGTTGTATCATTTATATGGACGTTAAAGTGATTGGTTGCCTAGATTATACAAGATTGTCTGTGAGACTGTCACACAAACACGTATGAAATATAATCCTCTGGTTTACGAATTGGGGAGTGTTTGCAGACTTTTTTATTGAACCACTGTGTCTGTTTTCGGTAGGTTTTGTACAAATTAAAGGCCAAAGCTGGCCTAAAATTGATAGGACCTTTTTAGCAATGTTAATGGAAGATATGTATTCAATGGTAAATGCCACGGAGCCTTTAGAAACGAAACCCAAGCCTAAGGACGTTAGACGTTACTCACCTTGGATCAAGGGAAAAAAAAAAGCGTTCGATACAAGAAATGGCTAGTTTGAAAGTGCTTTTAAAATAACTGAAAGTGCTTTTGGTAAAATTGATTTTGGTTTCAAAAGCACATCAAGTGTTTTTTTTTTGGAAAAAACACTAGGTATGTGCTTTTTGCAAGAAGTACTTCAAGTGTTTTTCATAATTTACTTGAATTTTTATTGAGGATTGATTTCAGAAATATTTGCACCAAAAACGGTTTCAGGTATTTTAGAAGCACTTCTAAACGAACCCATGAATTAGCAAAGGGAGATAGTGTTTAGTTTTTGAGAAATGGTAAGGAGACAGTTGATTCTCCATGAAGTCTCTGTCACTTCATGTTTTCATACAATGTTTTATAATTTTGGCATGGGAATTGACGTTAATTGTGAGATGGCAGAGAGTCCCACTTTGAAAATAATATCTTTAACACTTCTCTTTTTTCTTTTATTATAAGTGGGTGGAATTGAACTTTATATCTAAGAGCTTTTTTTTTTGTTTTTTGTTCTTTCTCTTGCTGTATTCCAAAGGCGAGCTGAGCATACATTATCCTGCTTAACTAGTCTAACTCATGTTTATATAAACTTAATATAACTAATTTTAATTAATTTTCTTGACATATATTTTACCACTTAGAGCTAGTCCGCACAGGAATTATGTCTTTATTTTAATTGAAGACGATGTCATTGTAACATCATAAGTCAATTATTGTGGTAACACGTGGTTGATTTCATACTCTCACAATGACGTCACAAGTATCCCCTACTACAAGTATGGTAAGTAACTATGGTATCCCTAGTACAAGTATGGTGCTTTTGAGTTTTTAAGCCGGATCCGTCACTCAAGATCTTGGGTCATTACCATAACTTGATGAAAAAATGGGATCACTTCTTACGGATTTGTTGAGAATAATCCTAACTAATTCATAGTCTATTAGAAGCAGAAGATGCTCCAATGGGATTCTCACATATAAAAAGATTACAATTTCGTTATCTGGAAGCTCTCCTCTTTTGATCTATTTATATCATAGTAAATTTATTATTGTCCCTGTAAAATAGAAGTTACTATTGCCAATAATGTGGAGGTAACTATCACCTAACCATCGAGGAAAGAGACTTTCGAGGGATCAAACGAAAATGACATCACCAAATTGAATTAATGATTCTACTAACCTTTGTTTGTTTGGCCTCAATATGCTATTTTCATCTTAATAAAACCAACAAACAAAAATAATAAGCAGCAGCAGCATCAAAATTTTCAATTTTTTTCAGTGGTCTGAAAATTTAACTGTTAGATTTTGCATTTAGAAATTTTATAGAACTTTGCAATGCTTATATCTTGCATAAAACTCGTATGATATTGAGTGAAATATAACATTGTAACTGCGCTTCAAAATTTTGGATTCAACTACAATGATACGAATTTCATGCAATATTTAACATTGCTAAAATATACCAAATCTCTATATGCAATATCTAATAATTAATTACTTTGGATTATAGAATAATACAAAGGGAAATGTTATGCATACATCGCTTTTTAATTTTCTCACACTTTTATTAGTTTTTGTCCACGGACGAAAATTAAGAAAATGTATGAAAAATAAAAATGAATAGGCGGATTGTACCCCCTTAATACAAATCATGAAACAAAAATTACTAACTTTAGAAGAAAAAAAAAAAATGAATAAATAAAGCAGAGAAGCAAAAGCCACGCCACTCCACACATATAATTGCAACACACGAACTCCCCGAACAACTGTTGTTGTCTCTCTGCGAAAGACGAAGGAAAACTGAGAAGCAGAAGAAGAAGACACATAAAAACTCATTTCTTTCTCAGTAAATCTCCTCCCAATCCAAAAACCCACCACAGATTCGACCCCCAGAACCCTAAAATCCCATCCCCAATTTTCCTCACGTGACAAGATCCAATCCCTCCAAGTTTTCATCCGGATTGCGATCTCTGTCCGGAAGGCTGTAACTTTCCGGGAAACAAACGGGTATTCTGGACGCTTCAGATTTGGAAGCAGTGGAGAAATGAGGCGGAGAGCCCCGGAATTCCGGCGGCCACTGCGGCGGCGGTTCCCCAATGCCTTCTGGTGGGCGCTGTGCGGGGTTGCGGTTTTGCTCTTCGTTTTTACTTTGAGCAGAGTGAATCAGATGGAGTCCAGGCCTGTCATTCCCACTGTATGCGTATATTATCTCTCTACCCTTTTTGTCGTTTTTTTGTTTAATTGGGTGTTTGAACTCTGTTTGGTTGCCTAGAAAATGTAGGAAAGTGGAGGGAATTGGAGTATTGGATGCTGGGTTTCTGACTAAGTTGGGAGCTGGGGTAAAAAAAAATGCTGAATTGAGTTGTGAGTTTTTCATTTTTTGGAGCTAAAACAACAAAAAGATGTGAGCTTTAGGATTCAATATTATTTTTCCTTTATTTGGTGTTCTTGGTTAATCGAGCAAGGATTTGATTTTGCATACGTGGGTTTGGTTCGATCAGAGACAATGAAGTGTTATTTAGTTGGGATTTAGCATGATCTAGATTTCATCTGATATAATCTTATTATTTCCAATGATTTCGTCGAAAGGGCTGAAGACTCTGATTTCCATGTAATAGGAGTTGAGTGCACACGATCTATTGGGTAGGAACTTGCTACTTTCTGATCTATATCGCTACTGTGTATAAGTATATGAATTTAAGTGGAGGAGGGAACTAATGCCGTGGCAAGGGCATATACTGGAAGAGTTCTAAGATAAATTTTTTATTTGGGGGTATTCCGGTGTATTTGACTGAACTTGCTTGCATTATGTTTTTCGAAGTGGAATAGTAATGTTTGTTGAATCATAAAAAATGATATGGATGTGCTTGGTTACGTCTTTTTCAGTGTTTCAAAGTCTGCTTATGTTGTGGATTCTTGTAAAATGTATAGAGTTGATTGGATCCATAGGAGAATCTAGAGATTTTATTGTCATCATAAAGTCAAGGTAGATGTCACCGTAAAGTGCCCTGAGAAGTGAATGCTATAGTGTCGAGAACAGGGACTTTAAGACAGCACATTTACTGTGGTATGGCCAGAGTTAACTCATATAGATAACTTATACGACTTAATGATCTACTTTTGACTGATGTCGAGTTAAAATATTTAAAACGCTGGCTGAATCCTAGCATTCTGAATTGGAAGCGTATCATGACACAAACCATGTGGTCTTGATGCAAGATTGGTGGGAAGCTGCTCTTATGTGACGGGCACCAATAAAATCCTTCCACATATTGGAAGATGAACTATATCTTTGTTCTCTTCTTTTCTGTTGCAGAGGAGTGATAATATGCATTTTTTTCCCCTTTGCCTTTTCCAATTTATTTTGCAAACCTTAATAAAATATGTGCTTGTTTTCCTTTCGCAGAGGTTCAGGAATGATAGAGTTATGGAAGGCCTTAATATTACCGACGAAATGCTGAGCCCCAACTCAGTTTCAAGGCAGCTCAATGACCAAATTGCTCTTGCAAAAGCTTTTGTTGTGATTGCCAAAGAAAGTAACAACCTTCAGTTTGCTTGGGAATTAAGTGCCCAGATTCGCAGTTCGCAGATCCTGCTGTCAAATGCTGCAACCAGGCGAGTTCCTCTGACTATTAGAGAAACGGAAACTGCAATCCGTGATATGGCACTAATACTTTACCAAGCACAGCAGCTCCATTATGATAGTGCAACCATGATCATGAGACTGAAAGCCAAAATCCAAACTATGGAAGAACAGATGAGTTCGGTAAGTGAGAAAAGTTCGAAGTATGGACAAATAGCTGCTGAAGAAGTCCCAAAAAGTCTCTACTGCCTTGGTATTCAGCTGACTAGTGAATGGTTCAGAAGCCCGAATATACAGAGGAAAATTAAGGACAGAAAGCAAATAGAAATGAAACTGAAGGATAACAATCTCTATCATTTCTGCGTCTTCTCTGACAACATCCTAGCAACTTCTGTTGTGGTCAATTCAACTTCTATAAATTCCAAAAATCCAGATAAGATTGTTTTCCATCTCGTAACTGATGAAATCAACTATGCTGCAATGAAGGCCTGGTTTTCTATAAACAGCTTCAGAGGGGTGGCCGTCGAGGTTCAAAAGTTTGAGGATTTTACGTGGTTGAATGCTTCTTATGTTCCTGTACTTAAGCAGCTACAAGACACTGATACTCAGAGTTATTATTTCTCTGGAAATAGTGATGATGGGCGGACACCAATCAAGTTTCGAAACCCAAAGTATCTTTCTATGCTTAATCATCTGAGGTTTTATATTCCGGAAGTTTTTCCTGCCCTGAAGAAGGTGGTATTTCTGGATGATGATGTTGTGGTTCAGAAGGATCTGTCTGATCTGTTCTCCATTGATTTGAAAGGTAATGTCAATGGTGCGGTGGAGACATGCATGGAAACATTTCACAGATACCATAAATATCTGAACTACTCTCACCCTCTCATAAGGGCTCATTTTGATCCTGATGCATGTGGATGGGCATTCGGGATGAATGTTTTTGATTTGGTTCAATGGAGGAAAAGGAATGTCACCGGCATCTACCACTACTGGCAGGAAAGAAACATAGACCGGACATTGTGGAAGCTCGGCACACTACCACCTGGGTTGTTGACATTCTACGGATTGACAGAGCCTTTGGACGCCTCATGGCATATTCTGGGTTTGGGCTACACAACTGTTGACCCTCACTTAATAGAGAAAGGTGCTGTGCTGCACTATAACGGAAACTCAAAACCATGGTTGAAGATCGGTATGGAAAAGTACAAGCCCCTCTGGGAGAAATACGTAGATTATGGTCATTCGTTATTGCAACGGTGCAATTTCCATTGAGATTTCAGGCATGGAAGTTTCGACTTTACCACGACAGGTTTGGCGCGTAAAGGAGACATAACCTCTTTGAGGGCATGGATGAATGCTTGCATAATTTTTCCAGGATGAAAGCATGGATGGATGGGTAGTGGTTGTAAGATGGGTGGGGCTATTTATGTGATCTTCCTAGTTGTGTTGTAGTATAGTCTATAGATGATGATATACTTCATATATGTCATTCAGATTGTTAATGCTAACCACTGTTCTTCAAGAACTATTTTTTGCAGTATAATATTAATATGTTGAACTGCAATACTTGTATCCTTATAAATTGTTTGATCTATTTTTTTATTTATCAATATTAAGGAGAGATGAGAGTTCGAAACTATTACAATAATTTAGAAGATGAGGGAGTTTCGAACCCGAGACGCTTGGGTGGAAACCTAACACCTTATTCACTAAGATATTGGATCACGTGTTTGTTTGATCTATTGGTTGGTCAAGTTCTAGAGAAAATCTCACACCCTCTCTAATAAAATCATTCATTTTCATCCACTCTTCAATCTACGATTTTGGATCGAGCAAAGCAAAGGAGAATGAAGGAGCAAGCATAAACAAGGATGTCTAGAACGAGAAAAATGGTGTATAGAAATCCTTTTCCTATCTTTTCTTCAAGTGCTGACAACATATAGTTTATGATTTAACAAATGCGGTACAAGCAAAGCAAAGTGAGTGGCAAACCATAGAGTAGCGAAGTTGGTTAGAACTCCCTCATTTGCACTCAAGTTGTAGTATATTTTTTTTAACAAACGATATTCTCTACACAAAAGGGGTGGGGATGCCTCAGCCCCACAATATGCTAACAATAATGTAATTCAAATTCGCTTTTAGCGATAATCGAACCTAAGAGCTCTCACTTACAAATGAAGACGAATACTACTAAATCGTAGTATTAAGTGGTCACTCAAGTTATAATTTAGATTAAAATATTGCTTGAATACCAACTGTGGTAGGAAAATGTGAAGTCGAATTTTTAACCCATAATACTTCTACCTCTACCTGTCATAGATAGTAATCCGTTGAGAGTTAACATGGAGTAAAAACAATGTTAAAATATCAAATATAGGGACCTGGAACAACGAAGTCGTTGTAGTATAGTGGTAAGTATTCCCGCCTGTCACGCGGGTGACCCGGGTTCGATCCCCGGCAACGGCGTTCAGTTTTTTAATTTTAAGCTGTTTATTTTGTTTTTCCATTTTTTCAGAGGCCGAGCTGCTGTTATCTCTGGCTTGTGATGTGAGAAGCTCACCAACTTACAGAAAGTTTGACTTTTCAAGTTTTTCACGACCCCCTTGTGCGTGCATGTAATTATTTGGTAGTTCTAAGTTCGCTTTTGCTCACCCGTTATTCAAAGTAACTGTTTATCTTTTCAGAATTAATGTAACCATCACACTTTCTTTTAAAATCCTGTTACGTGTCTATCTAATCAAAATTTTTAAATCATTTTGTAAACCAAATAATATGTAAATAATAAAAAATAGGCACATTAATCGACAGTTAATTAATAATTCAATTATCTTCAAACACATCTTTTTGTTTACAAATTTGATTTAAAAAATTTGATCTTCCTAACATTACCTTGTTTAACTAACTATGCTTATATTTATGCCTCCAACTCCAACTCCAACTCCAAGCTTGGAGGCATTATCCATTGTATTTCCACACATATGCCTCCAACTCCAAGCTTACCAATCATACAAAATATATAAAAGGTCTCTTAGTTTTATCGAATTCGAAATTGACTGTTTCTTTCATATGATTTGAGATTAATTTATCACTTGAATTTTATTTACAGTAACAAAGATAAAACAATTAGCTTACATAAACACGCACATTCATATTAATAACAAATTTAACCCAAAAATTAAATACAAATTAACAAATACCAAGTGCATTGCAGAAGCCAACAAAAACACATTTTGACAAATGGCAGATTCCAAATAAACCCTTCGTTATCTCTTAACTTTGCCGGCTCAGTTCATTTCGTTAACTCTTATATATATTCACTCCTTCCACCACCCAAAACGAAAACCTTTAAAATTTCTAAAGATAAATAAGTTGTATTTAACCAGTCTTTCATGTAAACACCAATATGACTAAATAACGTGCATGGAGGATGGAGCATTGTCACGTTTGATAAATTTTACGTAATTCCAGTAAATAAATATGATACATGTAAACGTTACTATACTTATTAAACATGACGTAAATTTTGACAAAAAACAAACATGATGCAAATATCTAAATTCATTTACGTTTATTGATATTTTGTAGTGATAATCTGTTTATTGCAAAATTATAATGATTTAACATTCTTCATTTGACCTCTCACACTCCTACTTCAAGATTTTTTTTTTTTTTTTTGACCGTAAAAATATTCAAATCATTTTTGTTTTATTGGCCACATATTTACCAAGTCAGAGTCGACGAGGGCATTTCAGTAATCCCACCTCGAAAATCCCATAAAGCCTCCTCATATGCCGGCAGAGGATCTAATTTGCCGCCATTTCAAATGTGGTGGTTTGTTTTTGGTCTCATCTCTTTCCCAAACAAACGCAGACAAATCAACTTCTCAAATCCTTCGTTTCTCACACACAAGTAATCAAAACACCTCTCTCTCTCTCTCTCTCTCTCTCTCTCTCTCTCTCTACATACACACACAGAGAATGAAGAACGATCAAATGGTGACAGACCAATCCCACAAACCCAGAAGAGCCAAATCCCGCGAAGTAAGCTCGCGGTTTCTATCATCGCCAACCACCACAGAAACCACCACGCTCCCGTCGCCGAACCACCCCATCTCGCCGGTCCGGCGCAAACCCGTTTCACCTTTCTCCGATGCCCGAAAACCCAAAACGCAGCTCGAGGATTCGGGCCCCACCCGCGGACTATGGCCCTCTTCAAACTCGTCGCACAAGAAGCTCGACACTCTCGCCGACCACCTCGGAAACGACAGGCGCGAAGATCGCGTCCAGCGTAAGGATTCAATCTTTGACAGAGGAAGGAGCTGCAGAGAGTTTGGTTCGTCGGATAATCCCAAGGAGAAAGGGAGAGAAAGCCCCAAAGAAAATCACTTACCGTTTCTTGGCGGGTCGATGAGATACACTGGAAAGTTCAGGTTTTCCAGAAAATCTAACTCTTCTTCTTCTTCTACTTCGTCCTCTTCCAGCAAGTTTTCAAGCAGTTCGAATGTGGCTGCTCCTCGGAGATTTTCAGTGGACGAAAATGCTCTGTATCAGAAACAATCTCGGAGAAATTCGGATGGTTTTCCGGATACCCTTGATTCAGAATCGGAATGCAGTGACGGCTCTTCAGGGATGATTATGGGGTCTCCGAATATTGGTTCAGCTGCTCGAAAATCGGGTGTAGAGGTTTCTTCCAAGTACATGAATGAGATACCTTTGAGGCATCGAAGAGGGACGTCGGATTCTAACATCGCAAATCCGATATCAGGAGACAAGTCTCCGAAGCTGAACAAATTCACCATTAAGAATGTGATGAGGAGGGCTCATTCTCTGACGGCGACAACACAGTGGGCGTTGTCGCCGGGAAGAACAGGGTCGCCGACGATGTCTGTGGAGAATAAGGGAGTACCAATGTCATTTTCGAGCTTGAAGCCTCCTACAAGTCCCTCGAAAACCAAACGGGTGGAGAAGTTGTTCAACATGGGGTTGGACTTGTTCAAGAGTAAAAAATCTTCTTCTTCTAATGTCTTTCTGGTGAGGTCTAATTCGGTTTCTTCGGGCTCAAGTATGGCAGAGATGGGTCATCAACTCCGCTTGCTTCATAATCGATATTTGCAGTGGCGTTTTGCAAATGCTAGAGCTGCTGTTGTGAACCAGAACATAGCAGATCAAGCACAGGTATGTCTCGGTGCAATTAGAAATAAAATCACTAAATATAAGTTATATTTAATTGTCAAAGTTTTCTATGCAAGACTTTTAACATTCTTCAACATTTGCAGGTCAATGTTTTATATGCTTGGGATGCTCTGATGAAGTTACGGCATTCCATGCTACAGAAGAAAGTGAAGTTACAAAAAGAAAGGCTTGACATGAGGCTGAACTTAATACTCTATTCTCAAGTGAGTAGCAAACTACGATACCTAAAGGTTTTCGTTACGAGGTTTGATGGTGTATAGATGTTTGGATTGATTCAAACAACCTGTGTTAATATGTTTGTAATTTGTGTAGCTTAAGCAATTGGATTCTTGGGGAGATATGGAAAGGCAACATATGGCAGCAGTTTGCATGATGAAAGAGTGCTTGCATTCTGTTGTCTGCAGGGTGCCTCTCGTTGAAGGTGCAGAGGTAGGGGAAAGGAAACTGACTCTAATCTTTTGTTTTTGGCAAAAGAGATGCATTTTTTCTGACAAAACCGAGTGCGAATGCAGGCGGACACTCAATCTGCTTCCGTTGCTCTTCGACATGCTTCGGATCTCACCACTTCCATTAAGTTGTTGCTTTGTAATTTCTCACCATTGGTATGCTTCAGTTGTTTTATAATGTTGTATACTTGGGATTCATGTAATGTGGACTTACATTGAAGCCGATTTTTGAACAGGCAGAGCAAGCTGCTCCGTTACTGTCAGAATTAGCGGAGGTGGTTGCACAGGAAAAATTGCTTTTAGAGGAGTGTCTTGAGCTTTTCAGAAACATTTCCATACTAGAGGTAATAAGCTAACTCTTTTTTCCTTACAAAAACGATACATGTTACAAAATTACACTTGCTAATGCTTAGTGTCACATGACTTATGAACCGCACCAAACTCCGAAAAACTGACTTGTTCCTTCTGATTTGTTCGGACAGATTGAAGAGAGGAGTTTGAAGTGCAGTGTAATTCAGTTAGAACTTTGGAAACAAGAACAAATTAATTAGCACGAACCAAGACAAATGACGATGTTATACAGCACACCAGCACGGGCGCTAAGTGACATCATATTTCCTAGAAATTGTTGGTTGGAAGATGACTGATGCATGAAACTGGCCTTTGTAATGTATATGTGAGTATAAGGTTCTGTAAATGAGCAAGAAAGTTTTGGTCATTAGCTGATTGAATCTCAATTTTCTTTTTACGTAGACACTGTCTTTCTCTTACGTTGCTTAGTAGGAATATCGCTCGTAATAAAAAAAATCGTAGATATACCATGTTTGGCTCTTACTGATTCTGCCTTCTTATCATGTGTGTTTTTGTAACATGTTGACAACATCTTTTTATGCTAGTTTTCACAGTAACGGCACTTCTCACATTGCAAACCCTAGATGAATTTGAATAATTCACGTGACTGTATGGCCGTCACACTCGAACTTTACTCAGGCCGGCCAGCTGCTGCAACAAAATGTTTAGTGGTCATCATGTTTCTTTTATTTAATTAATCCATTTGGTCAACACGTACTTATGTTTCAATTCACAGTTGTTGCTTGAGATGAAAATCAATGACGAAGTCAAACCCAATTCAAACGGTATCTCATTTAGGAGATGCAGCCATGTGGTAGTTCATGGGCAACCATGAATCCCAATTTCTCCTCCAATGTCCGTCCTCTTAACGAGTGAAGGTTGCTACAAGCCTCTCACCAATCCAAACCCGAAACGCCTACCTGCCAAACAGGAAAGTTGATCAAAATACTTGAGCTGCGAAGATGAACGATTTGTTTATGAGCGATTCGTTCAGGAGATACAAGGATCTTGAACGCCAAGTCTACATCGATGACATGCAGGAAGGAGGCGAGGCATGGAAAGAGACCGTCAATCTTGATGGATTCTTCAAGGAGATAGAGAATGTCCAACGTGATATGAGAGCTGTGGTGCAGCATTACAAGCGGTTAGAGGGAGCGAACGAGGAGACCAAGCTCGTCCACGATGCCAAGTCCATGAAGGGGCTTCGTGCACGGATGGATTCCGATGTTGAGCAGGTGTTGAAGTTGGTTAAACTCATCAAGGGGAAGCTAGAAAAGCTCGAACTCTCCAATGCCGATCAGCGAAAAGTTCCAGGGTGCGGCACAGGGTCATCTTCGGATCGAACAAGAACCTCAGTGCTCAATGGCTTGGCCAAGAAGCTAAAGGACATGATGGATGATTTTCAAGGATTAAGGGCCAAAATTGCATGCGAATACAAAGAGACAGTTCAAAGGAGGTACTTCACAATTACAGGTGAGAAGGCCAACAAGGAAACAATAGAGAATTTGATATCGAGCGGAGAGGGAGAGACATTGCTCCAGAAGGCGATCGAGGAGCAGGGCCACGGCCAAGTTTTGGACACGGTTCAAGAAATCCAAGAGAGGCTTGGTGCTGTGAAGGAGATGGAGAAGAGCCTCATTGAGCTCCACCAGGTGTTCCTTGACATGGCTGCACTCGTAGATGCACAAGGGCAGCAGTTGAACGACATTGAGAGCCACGTGGTGTGCGCCAATTCGTTCGTTAGGCGGGGAACCGTGCAGCTTGAGGTGGCTAAGGACTATCAGAAGAGTACCAGGAAGTGCACTTGCATTGCCATTGTTATTGGCACTTGTGTTATTGTCATTCTTCTTTTGCCTATTTTGCTTCACTTCAAGAGTTAACAAAAATATGCAACTGCCCTCTGCATTAACAAGAGTTGTATTCTTTGCACGTTTCTACATTGCTAGGCTTACATTGTATGAATTATTAATATCATTTTATCTCATAATTTAACTTTGAATTAATTAGGAGTGGATAATAAAACACTAAAACGGGCCTTGTTCTGACACTAATTAATTATGTAGGACTTGCTTCACATGACTATTGTTCTAAAAATCTCCGTCTAAAGACGCTTAGATCTTGCCTAGGCGTTAGTGGCAAGCTACCATCCTGATTAACTCCTAGGCCGTTTGAAAATTAAGAAAGAGCCTCTAGACAAGCCTAGTTGCCCGCCTAGCCTGCCTAGGTGACTCTCACTTTATAAAAAAATAGATAACTTTAATTTTGCATTTTATTTTATTTTTCAATATATTGTAAGAGGTTTGTTAAATAATTAGATGAACACTCATTATATGTTTGTTCCTCATATTTTCAATATGTTCTAAATTTTATAAGCTATATGTCATTCTATTTTACAGTTTATGTATTCTAGTACGATTATGTATTTTTTAAGTATAAGTAAATATTTATTTATATGTTAGATAATAAATTTAATTAAAATTAAAAAGAGGGCCTAAACCCTTGCCTTCGCCCGATTAGCGTCGCTTTTTAAAACCTTGTCATTCACGTTGCGTGAGTCTCTGGTACATATCAAAAGCTAATGTTCAACTACAACGTGACAACCTGAAACTTCATTTGAACACGATTTAAATAGAAGAAGGCGATTAAGATAAGTGAAACTTCATTAAACTGTAAAACAAATTCAGTAAAAATTTTCTTTCCGATTAGGGCTGGTACATTCTTAGCTGAAATCAACTAGATTTTCAAGTTTTTAAGAACGTTTTGTATAAGAGAACTGATATGTAATTAGACATCAAGACTAAAACAATCACATTTTTTATATTTTTTATGTGACTAAGTTGAAACGCATAACGTTCTGTGATATATTTAAAAAATCGTTATTCTACAATTCTCGTTTCATGTAAATTTTCTTTTGTAAGTCGGCTTAGTTTGTCACCCTTGGGCTTACAAGGACTAACCCAACCCAAGTATAGGTCCCAACCGCGCTCCATCAGTAATTAGCCCAGACGACGTCGTTTTTTTCTGCGGGCAAGCCTCTTTCTATAACCAAAGCAGTTCCTCGCATTTCCCTTTCTCGCTCCTCTCTCCCTCTCTCTCATTTGAAGCTCAAAGCCATGGCTACTCTAACGGCGGCCGCAGCTCGTCAACTCGCCACTTCAAGTCGCATCTCCACGGCGAGAACCTCGTCTCTCCCTTCCAATATAATCCACCGCCGCGGCCTCGCCGGCGCTGCTGGTAATAATCGCAAATTTTCAATCTTGTGTTTCGTGTATTACTTGATCTCCGATCTGATTTTTTAGCTGATTTGGTTTTCTACCACAAAAAATGTGAAATTTTTAGATCACCATGGACCCCCAAAGGTTAACGTCTGGCAAGACCCATTGAGCCCATCTAAATGGAAGGAAGAGCATGTCAGTCTCTCTCTCCCCCTACATTTTTTGGTCTTCGATCTCATGAATTTATATATGTGTGTGTGTGTGTAATATGTATGCATGCATGTATTTATTGTTTTGGTATTCAATTTCATGAAATTAGTTACTTGTTAAATTTTGGGTTGTGATGATTTTTCTGGGTTTTGATTTTACCCATTTGTTTGGAATTGACAATCATAAAGAAAAAAAAAAAAATTTTTATGGATTAAGAAGTGTAGCATGATCAATATATAATCAGAAGATGCATTTTTTGTTGTTTTGGGTTTGAACTGTTTTATCTTCTGAGTTATGATTTATATTGTGACGAAAAGAGTGATGATTTTCTTAAATATAAACATGGTAAAAGAGAGTATTAGTTACAGATTAGTGGTTTTACACGTCACCTCGTTGAAGTTGATTAGTGTTGTTCTTGAACCACTAGTATGATAGAAATTAGTTGACACATTAAGTTGTCTTGACTGGGTTCGGTACTTTTGCAGTTTGTAATTGTCTCCTTATCTGCCTGGGGTCTACTCATCTTTGGAGGTTACAAGTTCTTCACTGGAGGCAAAGGCAAGAAAGAAGAGGTACTTCAGATTTCTTTCTCCCTTTAGCACTATGATATTGTTGTGGTGGGTTATGAGCCTAGGCATCGGATATCCTAAGCAACATTGTTGTGGTTATTTGAATGAACAATGGTTTTTATGTAAATGAACGTGGGCAGCGGCTCATGGTCCTGATTTTGGTGTAGTCAATTAGATATGCGTTTATATGACCGTTCACTTTCCCATTCTAGTGAAATGTTGTTCTTCTACTTTTTTTTTTTTTTCCAGCTTATAGATTTGTTCACTCTGTGCATGCTGAAAAGTAACTAGGACTCCAAATACGTAATTACATTACCCATGTTGCATCTCCCATTTTATACTGTTTAGATAAATGATTGTTCTCCTTATGCCCCTTCATCATATTTTCCTGTATATTGTGTGCTTTTGGTTGTCGGATAGAGATGGTGTTGTATTAAATGGTTAGTGGTTCATCTATGAGAAAATTTACAAATATAATCATCAGATGAATTGGACAATGTGTAACACGCCTATTTGCAATCTTCAAGTTGTTCGCATATGGTCAGTTGATCGGATTATCATGGGAGTTGTTTTTTAAAAAATGCGTGTGTGTGTAGATAATAAAATCATGGTGTGTTGTTTTGTTTCTAGTGTCTGCATAGAGCTAACAATGGATTAGGTTCGGTGAATTTAGGACGAGTCTGGTTTTTATAGAGTGCTTCTATCTGTCATGAAGCATGCAATTTAGCTTTTTCTATAATGTGTTCCACTATATTGGGGGACTGTTGTAGTATCTGGGAGAAGAGGAAGACAAAAAACACGTTTGGATTGAATTAGGTAAACATAACTGGAGGTGGCCTTGGCATTTTAATATGGAACGGGGTCACTGATGTAACTCTTGTCTTGTTTTCGACTGTAATTTTAGCTTTTGCTGACTAAAATTCTTGTTTATTTTCAGAACCTTGTGGAAGCAAAGCACTGAGGTTTGGAGTTTTAGATATTCCCAGAACTTCTTCGTGATAACGAGTTTGCTTGGATATAACATGTCTTCGTATTTCTTTCTCATTGTCAGAAAATGATCTATGATCGGTCTGTGGAGATCGATCCATTGAAAAAGTTGAGGTCAATGGTTTTGTTGGGAGTTCATGCCCCTGTCGAGTTGTGCTCTTTTTGTAGTTGCTTTTACGATCCCATGAGTTAACTTTTCATGTTTTCAATAATATAATGGCATCCTTCGTACAAATTCTTTAGATGGTGAAGCACAACCCAATCAGACCCGTAATCAATACTTCATAATCTCTATTTACCCCCGTGCTCTTTCGATTTTCCACCTTCAAGTTTCTGTTTCCTATCATCTGCTTTTTCAGGGTTTTGAAGCTCCCAAAGAATGCACGGGGTTGATCATCGCTTGTTACTTTCCAGTTTAAAGCTGCTTCCTCTTATTTGCCCACAGACCTACTCTGATCATCCATGAAGAATCTCCTGCTACTCACACTTTCCACTCGATTGGTCTTATAATTTCCCTTCTTCTCCTCCCTCCTATACCTTCACGTTGATCTCCATTTCTGTCGTCTCTCGCCGCTGCTAAAGCCATGCCTCCCTGTCACTCGACCCCTCACCTTTCTCAAAGCTCTCTTGCGTTTCCAACTCCCACCACCCGCAGTCACATTAAGGCCACTGCGGCCATCTCTAATGGAATGGACTAAAGGTCCAACAAACCAAAAAATAGCTTCATTTGTCAAAAAACTTACTTCCAATCAAAGATTGAGCTATAATTTTATGGAGCTTGCTAGGCCATTATTTGGCCAAAAGGGTATTAGGCTGGCTAAATGTAGCTCCCTCTTAACTCTTTTTTTAGGGCTTAAATCTTTAGTTTCGATAATTGATTTAAATTTATGGCTGGATTTGAAAACATTCAACAGTAATTTAATAAATTTAAACTATAAACTTAAAATTAATAAATTATTAAGGGGTTTATGTTTAACCTTTTCGGCTAGAGATAGTATATAAGTATATCTTGACACTGTTAATTTAAACATAAATTTTGCAGGGTTGTAATTTTGGATGGAGCTATATTGAGCCCTTTCGGTTTGGAGATAGCCTAAATTTCTGCCTCTCACCTGGTTCAAAAACATTCCGCTCTCCCATTTCCTGTGGTCTTAGTTTCTTCGCCGTCATCAACTTTCTCATCAACATATTTTCCTCCACCATCTTTCAATCCTCACCTTTCTTTCCTTGGCCTCGTATTCGTTGCTGCCATTCTTGGCATACCCTTCCTTCCTTAAATTATTGTAATAATTGTGAACTCTCTCCTATCCCCTAATAATAGTAAAAAAAATTTAAAAAAAAAACCAAGAATGAAAGAATAAAAATAAATATTTGTGTCCAAAAAAATCCCAAAGTACTTTATTTTCTTATTTAATTATTTTATTTTTGTAAGGCCACAACATAATTGGAAGCCCATATTACCCTGGATACCAAATTGGGTTAAGGCCCAATTACAAGCTTCCAAAGCCCGATCCAAATTCACAACCCGCACCCACTACCGCCAATTCCAGTCATTCGCGAACAGCTCTTTGTGGTCTCGACGGACAGTCCCGCAAACAACAGAGGCAACTACTTCACCGTATAAAACCTTTATCTGTTTACTCCTCTGAAATCGCCTTCCATGGCGGACGACGACATCTTTGGCGAAGATTTTTTGAATTTGGAAGCGAACCATCAAAAGGAAGGCTTCGACGAAGGCTACAGAGAAGGCTTGATCGCCGGAAAGGAGGAGGCGAAGCCGACGGGGATCAAAACTGGGTTCGAGGTGGGCGAGGAACTCGGGTTCTACAAGGGATGCGTGGATGTATGGAACTCAGCGATCTGGGTCGATCCGACACGGTTCTCGCACCGGGTCCAGAAGACCGTGAGGCAGATGGAGGAGCTGATTGAGAAGTACCCGATCATGGAACCCGAGGACGAGAGCGTCGGGGATGTGATGGAGGCTCTGAGGTTGAAGTTCCGGGCGGTTTGTGCTTCGTTGGGTGTGAAATTGGAGTATAAGGGGTACCCAAAATCTGCTTCTGAGGCTACGGAGACGTCGTTTTGAGATGGTTTGTTGTCGTTCTGATGGAATTAGGGTTAAAGGTGGAAGCTTTGGTACTTATGGGGAGTGTTGGTGTTCTTGATATGTACTGCTGAAATTGTTTTTGGTTCTGCTGTGACTAGTTTAGTCTAAATTAGATACAATTTACGGGTCTTAGCTTTTCGATTTGTGGATGCATTTTGCTTATGACAATGTTATGAATTCTGTTGTTTCATCGACTTGTTGTGCAAGAAATGTTCGAAAATTTTATCCAGCAGAGCATGGTTTTTTGCGAATTTCGGTTTTTGTTGAGATGGTTTTGTCATCAGCCACAAGTAGATAGCTGAATTAGTGGCTGAGGTTAGAGGAGATTGTGAATCTGTGATCAGATAAGAACAATGTCCACATTGTTTTCTGGTGGTGTTTTTCATTATTGTAATCTGTAGGATTTTTTTGCAGTTGGTGATGAGCAGGAGGGAGGGAACATGTTGAAGGCGATGCTTGGTTGCTGCAAGGTTTACATATCCGAGAGCAGAAACAGGGCAGCGCTGGACTCGATCGAACGGGCTGCTAAGCTGTTCTCGGAAGCACGGATTGTGAATAAGTTTGAAGATGAGACTTACAACAGAGTTGGTTACACACTTATCTCTAAGTTGGCTCCAAAGCCGTCTGCGGATCGTTGTCCCTTGAGGATGGCAGTGCTTGCCATGGTTAAAGCTGCTTTTGAAACAATTGATGTCGAGTCGCATTGTGGAAGTCATCCCCGGCTCGGAGTTGTGGATCATATATGCTTTCATCCCCTGCTTGGTGCTTCTTTGGACCAAGTTGCTGGGGTTGCAAACTCTTTGGTTGAAGATGTTGGCTCTAGTTTTCAAGGTTTGCTTTCGTTCTCTTCTTTTCGTAGTTTTGATGCTCCTAAACAAATTATATGATTCTTATAAACAGTAATTCGAACGACATGCGATCAGTTCACGTACTATATCAATTGCTAATAATCTTAAATGTGGCCTGCAGTCCCTACTTTTCTGTATGGAGCTGCCCATGATGAGGGAAGAACACTTGATTCAGTCTGGAGAGAGTTAGGTTTTCAAGCCGAATTCTAGCGGAGAACAGTGGGTAGGGGGACCGAAATCAAATTAATTGGCGCTGGAGCCGGACTAGGGTCCTCAAGTAACTCAAGGAAAAGGTGTCATTGTGATTGGAGCAACTCGGTGGGTTGATAACTATAATGTTCCTGTCGTCTCTACTGATATCGCTTCTGTTCGTAGAATTGCAAAACACATGAGCGGCAGAGGGACTGGTCTTGCCTCGGTTCAAGCCATGGCACCTGCGCATGGTGAATCCGTCATTGAAGTAGCTTGCAATTTGTTGGAACCAGAGAAGGTTGGAGGAGATAGGGTTCAACTTGAAGTTGAGAGGCTTGCAAAGGAAGAGGGTATGAGAGTTGGGAAAGGCTACTTTATTGATTTTTCTCAGGAAAGATTAATTGAAAGTCACTTGAAATCAGATTCGAGTACAAACAAAATGTGTTTCTAAATTGTAAAAGCACTTTTGATGATACATATTACTTCTAATAAAAGCGCTTTTAGCTTAAGCTTTTTTTATTCTTACAAAAACACTCCTAAATGAACCCATATCTTTGTCAGATTGCCTTCCAGCTCGTGACGAGGCTTCATAACTCGTTGGTTGAAGTTTCTCCATCCATCGTTGTCAACTCAATATTTAAGTATGTCATTTAGTACTATGTTCTAGAAGTAACAGGTCTTAAGTTCGATTCTCGTCAAAAACAAATTCGAACTACATTATCGTTAGCTCCTAAAAAATAAAAAATAAAAATAAAAACTCAATATCCAAACATTGGTTTCCCTTTCCTTTTTCTTTTTTTCTTTTTACTTTTTCTTCTGTTAACTTGAAACTTTGTCATTGTTCTTAGTGTGTATTTAAATCCTATCTTTGTTGTTATTATTGGAATCTATTTAAAACATTATTTGTTTTTCGAGTCGTAGAAACAGCCTTGTTGCAAAGTAAGGGTAAAATGACATACGATAGAGATTCCTCTTCCAATCCTCACAAAGTGAGGAGCCTTGTTGACTTGAAATCGCCTTCAATCTTATATATTTATAGAACAAGTATAGAAGTTGTATTTGGTGCTTAATTGTAGTATAACTCCATAGTTCATCTCCAATGGAGAGGGTTAAAGGTTCAAAAGCCAAAAAATAACTTGATTTGCCTAAAAATTCATCTTCAACCAATGACTGGACTATAGTTGTATAGAGTCTACTAGACCATTATTTGGCCAAAGGGGCATCAGGCTGGTTAAATATAGCCCCCTTCTAGGCTTTTTTTATTATTTATAATCAGCTCCTCAGTTGTAATAATTGATTCAAATTCAATGGTTAGATTTGAAAATATCCAATGATAATTTAACTAAATTAACCAATAAATTTAAAGTATAAACTTAAAACTAATCAGTTATTGAGAGGGCTATGTTTAGCCCCTTTGGTTGAAAATTGTATATGAGTATGACCTGACACTACGATCTATTGCTATCTCTTTTCACTTGTAAGTAAAAGGTCTTCGCTTCGATTCTCGCTAAAGATGATTTTGAACCACATTATTGCTAACCCATTGTGAGATTTAACTTACTCCCCTCCCTCTTAATGTAGATAATTAATATCATTTGTTCAAAAAGTTTTTTTCTTGCAGGGCTAATTCTGGACGGGCTATATTTAGTCATTTTGGTTAGAGATGGCCTTAAAAAAAACATTTTGTTTCCACCGAGCTAAAATAATTTGTCGATGTCCTTGGTAAACCAAAGTCATTGTTTAATAGCCAGTTTGCTTCAATTTCCATAATACAAAGTCCAAATTAAAGAATTAGTTATGATTAAGAAACAACTTTCCTTCTTTATCTATGGATCCTTACTCATACTCATTCAATTAGAATTATTGATCTAATTAAACAAAAATTGTGTTTCAAAATCATATAATCCAAATTTTCAAGTTTTAATTGATTATTGGATACAAATCAATTAGTGGATACAAATCACGAGAATGTATATTCTTTGTCAAATTTTTCATTAAGAGGTAAATGATTAAATCTTTTTAAGAAACACAGCTTTTGATCTGAATGAAATATTAATCAAATCGAAAGACTCTTTAAATATATAAAGGATTATACAACAAGTCACACTTTTATTACTTAACCATGTGCTCCATCTTTTCATCTAAATTCGAATTTTTTACTTTATAATTATTTTGTTAAAAAAAACTGAAATAATAAAGTAGAACATTTTGGATGCTTCTTCTTTCACACATGGCTTTGTAGTTTGCGCCGCACGTTTATGGTAAAGACAAATAGAGCTTGCTTAGGTGTTGGTATGCAACAAGAGTGACAAGAGACCATCATCTGCTTTCCAAGTCATCTGCTTCTGGATTTTTACAGTAACTTGCAGTCATACAAAAGGTGCTGAATAAGACAGCAGCTTATGTGCTAAGCTGCTTTTAATCACTTTCACCATGTGGGTTGTTTATTTATTATATATAGAGCATGGAGGGACAGTTGCTTACACGGATGTCGGACCCATGCTGACTCATAGAACATGGCTTTTATATAAAAGCACTTCCCAGACTGTCAGGTCTCAGAAACAGAACATAATTTCAGCTGCAAAGTTTAAACATTGGAGAAAAAAAGGAAAATGGATTTTAGCCAAGGCTGCAAGGTAACAGACTAACTTCTTTTTCAGCTGTAGAATCATTCACTTCAATGTCATGGGGGAGATTCTTCAGTCTCTCCCCGACGCCACTCGTGTATCCCTTCTTGTTGTATCTCTCATCAAGTCATGTAATTATGTTACTTGATCATTGTCATATAACGAGAGAAATAAATGAGATATATACGTTTCTCCAGTTGCATGCAAGATTATCTCCGATTTCGTGCCAATTATACGTGTGATTTGTAGATTTGTTGGGACCAAACCATCTATCCCTTGAAATTAACCTAGTTCTAAATTTTAAGGTTGCTTACTTTATTTGTAATGTTCGTTAGACAAATAAGATTTCTTGCAAATGGAAAATTATGAGCTGCTAATCAAAGCTTTCCTGTTGGCTAATGCCTGCTGGAGAAGGATCAACCAGATGAAACTGCATTCATAATTGATAAACAATAACAGCCGTACACTTGTCAGTTGATTAGTGCAAACTCATGACGTATGATGTGATTCTTATAAATAATCGTGTGATTAAGACCATTTTAATTTCTTGATAATGTTCCATTATTTTAGTTGACGTAAAGTTCACTGCATAATGCAGACGTAACTATGATAGAATATCTGTTCCTTTGCACTTGATTTCAAACTTCTCTTTCGATAAATTAGATAGTGTACAATGTCGATTTAGGTACATTTTCATCTTCTAGGACACGATGTACAGATCTGTCTTAGTAAAAATCATGAATGAGACGAATGTTGTTATTGACACTACGACAAGAAGAAGAAAACCATAGACCAGTCCATGCTATTGTGCTGCAAGCATTTCATATCTGAATTACGAAACCTCGCTGTTCTCGACGCCATTGAAAGTGCTGCCAGGCTACCCGAAGTCCGTCATCATTAACAAGTTTGAGGACCGAGCATACAATAGGGTCTGGTACACTATAGTGTCATATGTTATGCATGATAGCACAGGAAGTGCCGTGTATAGCCCCTTGCAGCAAACTGTCATGAAAATGGCTGAAGCGGCATTTGGAGCCATCAACCTTGAGCAGCACTCCGGGGCTCACCCTCGGTTGGGGGTTGTCGACGACATTGTCTTCCACCCGTTTGCTCGGGCATCATTGGATGAAGCTGCTTGGCTTGCTAAGGCAGTGGCAGTGGACATTGGCAATATATTCCAAGGTTGGTCCTAAGGTTTCAAACACCACTTTTATGTTGAGTTTGAATCTCTCTTCCCGTAGTTTATATTAATTTAGCATAGATTGTAAGAGAAACTCATTTTTAATTATGTACTGCAGAACCAGTTCGTATGCTGCAGCACACCTTACAGGCAAGGCACTAGACACAATCGGGCGTGAGCTAGGCTACTACAAACCCAATTTCATGGGGAGCCAATGGGCAGGATGGCCCATGCCAGACGTTCTCCAAGAAAAGCCCACTGAAGGCCCAACAAACGTATCCCCGGCAAGAGGGAATCTCAATGATCAGGGGACGTCCGTGGGTTACCTTGTACAACATTCCCGTCTTGTCCACGGATGTTGCGGCCACTCAACTGGTTGCACGGATGGTGAACGCCTGAGGGGGCGGACTTCCAACCGTGCAAACACCAGGCCTTGTGCATGGTGAGGACTCAACAGAGATGCTTGCGGCACAAGAAGGGTTGGATGCAGAGAAGGGGTACTTCACTGGTCACTCACCGGATATGATTATTGAAAAATACATGAAACTCATTTCATCTGCAGAACAATAATGCCAAGTGGATATTGTGAACTCGCATCTTCTATTTATATTTCTCAAAAAACAAAAAAAAAAAAAATTAATGTCATTTTACATCAGCCTTGTAAATATATGGTACAGTAATGTACATTTGGGTTCTTTTGTTCCAACTCTTACCTCTGCTCTGTCATGTACATTGCTTTCTTCGAAAATCTTCGGATAATAGTGTGTGAAGCAGCTCTTGGAACCTCTCTGAACCAGGACCTGGCTTAAACACCGAATCATTACCACGCACCGAGCATGGGTCAGCCCCGCCTTCAGGGCTGCCTATGCACCACCCCCCAGGCGCAAACCGGCTTGTGCGACCTAGAAGCTCTTTATCAATTTTGTCTAACACTGGGTCATCCTTTGCAAACTTTCGAGCAAAGGGAGCGTTGCTCTTTACCATTTTGTCAAAGTCCTTCATTGATAAAGAGATGGGATGCTGCTTAGGTGGTCTGTCCCAAGCAATGTAGTGGAGATCATGACTTATTGCAGTGTGGCGATATTGCTCATTGTTGCAAATAACAGTATGAAAATAGCCTTCCGGAGAAGAAACAAAATTTGTGTAGTACATAAGGATCGTGCGTGGGAGGTTATCCCATCCCCATATACAATACTCAAGAAATGATCGCGTTAGCATTACCCACGCTGAACCTGCACGCAAAGAGAAATGCAAAACGAGGGAAGCTATTTATTTAAATAGAGATTGACTGCTAATTTCAAAATGAAAATTGAAGTCATAAAGACTATTTCTAATCAGCCAAGTGAATCACAACTTGCAGAAGAAACAGAATTTGACATGTAAAGTGTTCATCTTCGTTCCATATCCCCCCTTTGTCGGCGCTGAGGAAGGCGGATAGTTCTGGTGGATCATTAGACATACACACACACACACACACATATACATACACAATTTTACTGGCATGTGATTTCTTTTCACAGCAAATCAGACTAGACCCACCTTCAATCCTGGTTCTTGTCCAATCCAATTTATCAGTGTGATCATTTAGCCCCAAGTAGGACGATTAAATGAGCGGGAAAAAAAGCATTTCCATTCTAATACTTATTAAGTTTGGAAATATGTTTATGCTATGTAATTTTATAATCATTAAACAAAAAAATGCAATAAAAACTTCATATAAATGAAAATGGGCTGACAGTTATAAAGTGTGCACATATAAAGGGTGCTCTATATGTATGTGTATACATATATACCTGTAAACAACTTAAATGATGTAGGAAGTGATCGGCGCTGAGTAGTCAGTGCAAGGTCAGATTTTTTTGATAAGTACAGGCCTGGGTCAATTATGATTGGTTTTGCTCGTTGGTTCCTACAAAATAAGGCATTATAGCATAACCATGATTATGTAATGGTTAACTCCAAAAATGAAATACTCTCTTGTTAGGCTATATGCACTTTACTTACAGTTTCCATCCAGTGATCTGCATGTGTTCAATAAAGTTGATATTTCTGGAAAGATTGGAGAAAGCATGAAGCAAATCTACACCATTAGGAAACCGATCAATGAACACAGACTGAAAATCGTCACATGACATACATTAGACTGTATCACACAGGCACAAAGCTAAATACCAAAAGTTCTGGGTGCAGCTTAATTAAAGAGTGTTCATGAGATTAAACTGGTAAATCAACAGGACGGAGCAGTTTTCACTCCTAGAACCAGAAAAACTCCCGTAAATGAAAGGTAGATAGATAGGCATCAGAACTGAATGTCCCAAACTAATATCTTTGAAAAATTATGATAACTGCCTTGTAGGACTCTAGCACACCGGCTTTTGAGTATTTCATAATCATAGGCAGGAACAGTCAATGAAAACAGACTTCATCAGGTATTCGAAGAAAAATGTCAATTCATGGGGTACCGATAGAGCACTGTGTATTAGCAGGCAAAACTTAGGTATACATAGGGTTCATTAACAAACAATAATTATCAACAATTGCGACATAGTAAGAGATACAGAATATATTGATTCATCAGCAGCCACAAACTCTGCTAGCACACTACGAGGGTTGAAAAGTTTGTCTTTTGAAATCCCCAACCCATCAATCTCAACAATAAACTCATTTTAACCCATCACCATATACAGAACCCCGCTTTCCCTTTCTGAGAAAGTCCGTTATAATTAGAAGTAGCATAATGGAGAACATGCAGCTACACAAATCCACACTACGACAACTAATGCTTCACAATTCAGGCAAAAAACAAAGTTCTTAAAATGAAGAATGTGGCCAGCAACGTTTTAACAGGCCATATAGAAGAAAAGAAACTCAATTCAAGTAATGGAATTGCTACCACATGCACAAAATATGTATCAAATATCTCTAACTATCGAGGCAGGAAACCTTATGCAAGCATACTACAAGATCGATCATGATAAAAAAAAGTAACAACAAGCAAAGAGAAAAGTCTGATACCATCTTGTGTCATGAGAGGATAATCTGATGCACTGAGGTTTATAAACCAGTCCCACTCTGAGCTCTCCTTTAATAGAATGGAAATGGCTTGCAGAGTACAAGCAATCATCGTAGGGCCCTTATAAGTCACCAAATTGGATTGAGACATAACACGTACATTCTCCACGTCGCGAAAAGTAAGATCAGCCCTCACTAAACTTGCCAATTCCAACCTTTCACGAGGCGGAGCCTCAAGATCCAAATGCAGGATATATTGATTTCTTGGATGATACACCGCGCTTAAAGTCCTCATCATCCTATGACTATCACCCCTTGTGCCGGATATAAGATACGCAAATCTAGGTGCCCCAATTTTGGAACTCCCATTGGTGTCCAATGATGTTTTCAAATCAGATTCGACATAATACCCACTTGGGTCATCTGATTTTGCGAAGGGAATAATGTCGAATGACAAATTCTCTCCATCGTGTGGGGAGGTAAAGAGCCCGGAAATGGCGGAGAAATAGAGGGTAATGAATATGATAAAGCTAGTAATGAATGGAATAACCCAATTCCTATCCCCAATCACCCTTGCTGAGTGATGATTCACATACTTCCTCATACTCGTTTACGGTTCCTGTCTAACTAAACTTCGGCTTAGAACCCTAAAACTCTATCAGCTCACAAACCCAGAAAGGTTTATCAAATGCAAATCAAAACCCACATATATCCTGAAGATTCTAGAGCTAAAGAGGAGTAAGGAGGTTCGGTTACCGAACCCAAAACGCCATTTTAATCAGCAAATGAATAACATCAAAGGCGGGGGTTCACAATTTTCAGCAATAAAAAACATGGGTTTCGATCAAAATTGCATAAATTACAGAACTTGGAAATTGAGGAGCTACGATTGCCAAAAGGGCAGGGGAAAAATGTATACTTTTTATAAAAATAGATGCTTACAGTGATACGTTGGCATTGAGGAGAAACGTCAAAATGAAAGATTTCAGTTTCAGAGTTTCATGAATGGTGAACGTCTGTGTCGGCTAACTAACTCAGATCTAACTTACCCAAAATTGTATACAAAGCCAAAGTTCTAAGCATAGAAGCTTCAAGCCATGAAGTTTGGCAGAGGGGAGAGAGAGAGAGAGAGAGAGAGAGGGGACCCAGAAAAGATTCAGAAACAAGAAACAGCCATAGAGAGAGAGCTCGAGGCTCGATACAGAAATTTGAAGGTTCAAGTGATAGACTTTTGGTAATGTGGTGATCAAAAAGTGGGCAGCTTTGAGAGAAAATTAGGGTAGAGTAGAGAGGGAGGGGAATCATGGGTGATTAAGTACATGAATACTTTGCTTTAATTGGGGGCAAAAGCAGAGTTTAATTAATCAGCTGATAATTGTTTTAGAGTTAATTAGATTATAGGAAGATGAATGTACAAGCTACAAGTAATGACATCAAAGATGTAAAAACCCCACCTCCATTATATTGGATTCTAATAAAGTCCTTGTACTTGGTAAATGACATTTGTTATTATAAAACACTATCTCAAATTCCTTTTTAAACCAAACGCGTAACGTTCTATAATTTATACAGTCTATCCTATTTAATAGAACAAAATTTTATTATTGTTGTTGGATAAGGATGTTTAAGAAAAAAAAAAATGCATTGTTATTGATATTATAAAATCAATGATGATGCACTATTTTTTATAATTATTAAACATTTGATCTTTTTTAAGTTTTAATAACAATTTCTAATGGAAACTACTCCTACAATATTATAATATAGCTCATATAGTTTTTAATTATTGAGGAATTATGACATTATACCTTTACATAGGTGAGGATAAGCTATGGCCCCATACTTAAATGCAATGAAAATGTTTGGTGAGATTTTGACAATGGATCACCCTAACTATATGAAATGACTATCTCATAAACAAAATTCACAATATTGTATTTAAGCAGATAAAATAACAAGGTGCGACTCACATATGTCATGTATCTTGGAGCGAGGATTTTGATATCCACAACCAAAAAACAAAACTTGCAGTCTCTATTTTTGTTGTGCTTATGGTATACCACTAATTTGTACATTATAATTCACTTCGTAATTAAAGAGTGCTTCTAATTAAATGGTTATGCGTATAGTTTTTGCTGCTAGTCTATATTGTGATAGCTTAGATGGTATTTTTCTATGCTAATCTGTGTTTTACTTGTGTTTTTGTTATCTAATATGATTCTTTTGTTGACTTAATAATAATCCTTATTTTGTAGAACTTTTATTCATTCATTATCTTGCACATTCTCTACGTTTTATATTTTGATATGTATATGGAGATTGTGATTAGAGAAATATTAAAAAGATTATCTTAAAATGAGATTTTGTATGCACTCTTTAACACTTCAACAAAAAATCGATAAAGAATCCTACATTTAAGAAAATCTCCAACCAGTTCTCTTCTTGTTATTATTTCAATCTAAATCCCAAAGAAATAGTCTTAACATAAATTGCTCCGTGCATTGCTTTATAGCCTGCATTCATTGTGTCTAATTTGGAGACCAGCCGTAAGGTCTAAACCCCCAACTCACCAACCTTTGAATTTCTGCCGACCTGGCAAAAATATAATAAAAATATCTCCTTTGTGTTGCTTTTGAGAAATGTGCTCGGCGCAAGTAAAAAGTGCTCGTTCTGCAACCTGCCAATTAAATCATGACAAAGAGGGTGTAGGGCTTGCATGCATGGCACGATAACTGATAAGCGTCTTTATTTACTGTATGTCACAGTGTCAATAACATAAATCTCGATTTATACCAAAAACAAACAATGATTACAATGTTGGAGTTCGTCGCATTTCACTACCGGGAACTGGGGAGCTAGTTATCCCACATCGGAAATTAAGAGAATATATGTATATACTTCGCATATATACTTAAAAGGACTTGCTCATCATTCTTTGATGTTACTAATCCTACTAACCTAAGCTTGTAACTAAGCATACCCTAGTACCATGAGTTTGTACTAAGCAAGCCGTGAACATAATTGGTGCTCTTAGGTATGATTTGGGATTGAGGTGATTTTAAAAAAAACTGGTATAAAAAAAAGTTGGGGGTCATTTTTGTGTTTGGTAAACTTCCAGCTTCAGCTTTTTTTCATAATTTTGGATGAAAAAAGTCAAAAAACAGAAGCAGCAAAATGCAGTTTTGAAAAGCTCGCTTTTCAGCTTCTGCGCAAACCTCTAAAACACGGGTGAAAAGTGACCCTTTAATGAAAGTTTCTGGCAATCCTACCCTAAGCTCTCTCTTTCGTCTCCACACTCCTCTGTCAAACCCACCACTTTCCCACACCTCTCCGCACCCCTTCCACCTCTCTTGCTCCTTCAAACCTACAAAACCCCCCAAACCACCTTCTTTATCTGCCTCAACATCGCCGCCTGCCAGAGACAGAGTCACCGACTTCGGAAAATACAAAGGCAAGTTGCTGGGCACCCTTCCTTCAGCCTACCTCAAGTGGGTCTCCAAAAATCTCTGCGCTCGCAACTTCAAGGACTAGGCGAAGCTCGCCGACCAGGTCCTTGACGACGCCGTTTACTGGGACCGGATCAAGTAGGAGCTGGCAGAGAACATCTTGAAAGGAAATCAGAGGAAAACAGACCCAACATCTGACGTTGTTTCGTCCACCGAGCTATAGCGGCTCCAAACCCATCAAGAACCCTAATTTCCCAAAACCCATTTCTCAATTTCACTGATAAATTCACACAGCTCAAGCTCAGGTAGTTGATTCCGAGGATTCCGAGCAGAAGGAAGAGAGAGTGTAGAGAGAGAGAGAGCTGAGGTGAGATGGTTTGAGATTGAAGGTTTGTGTGTGGGGTTGTCTCGGTGGAGGAGAGAGTGCAGAGAAAGAGAGAGATATCTGAGAGTTTTCGAGAGAGTTCGAGAGTGTAGAGGGAAAAGAAGATACATGGATAAGGGAAATGGGGTGTGGGCCCCACGGCCACACAAAATCCTCACATAAAAATAATAATATTAAATAAAATATCATAATAATAATATAGTATTATACCCTTTTTGGTCATTTCACACAGTCACAGTTGTTTTACATAAAAGTTTACCAAACACTATCATACTGCTTTTTTTTTTTTTTTCCAAAAACACTTTTACAAAAAAAGTTTACAAAACACTCTGCTGCTTTATTTCACAGTTGCTTATTCTCACAGCAAAGCAAAAGCAGCTTTTTTTCAAAGCACAACAATACCAAACCAGCCCTTAGTTTGTTCACTTTAGGTGAAGTCAAGTCACACAAAGCATTCATGTAAACCCTGAAAACTTTTGTCGCTCCATCCTCACTTGCGTTAGGGGAGTGTTTGTAATTGTTTTCGAAGAAATGAAACAAAAGATACGGTAAAAAAATTGATAAGTAATAGTCAACAAATTGGAATTCATTTATCAACAAATTAAACTTTTTTTATTCCATTTGAATTTGTTTCAATAATTAGTAGCATCATATCAACAACTAGAAGAAAACAATTTTTTTTTCCAAAGACAATGAGTATTTCAACTTCTGTGAAAGTATACATGTTTGGATCGACGAAGAAAATTTAATTCATTGTTTAATGTTTAGACTACAAAAGCTTATTATAACACTAATACTTACATGCCCAAAAATTATCTCACTTCCTTTGTACGAAAAAAATTCATTGTACACAAGTTAAATGATGGTCAAGTTTTTCAAGATGAGAAATATTAAGTAGACTCTCAAAAGTAGGACTCTCTCTTGTTGGATTTGACATTAAATCAACATGCCTAAACTAAAAAGCATTAGAATATCTTGGACGCAAGATATTTGGATTTGTGTTTCCTAGTTGGTTTGGGATTTGGTTTTAGTATAGGATTTGGGTTCCTATATTCTAGGGACTTTGTGTAAACCTATGACATCTTTTAGTATAATAGATGGATGTGAGATAGAGTTTGGTGTGTGAGAGTGTTTGAGAGGCATAAGTTTGTATACTTGAGAACACTTTATGTTTGTGAGTTCTCTTGTATTTGTTGGTAATCAAGACGACGGTTCAGAGTGCTAGGTTTGAAATTGAGAAATTTGATGGAACAAACAACTTTGCTATGTAGCAGTGTGAGGTTCGAGATGTCTTGATACAACAAGGTTTGGTTGTTGTGTTAGGAGACATGCCGTTTTCGATGAAAAAAAAAGAATGGGAAAGATTAAAAGCTCATGAATGTTCTACAATTCGGCTATGCTTGGGAAAGCAACAAAAGTATGGTGTGATGAACATAACTTATGCGAAGGAATTGTGGGCTACAGTGGAGACAAAACATATGAAGAAGAGTGCAGAGAATTGACTGCATCTCAAGAGTAAGTTGTACAGGTTCCAGTACAAAGAAGGCACAAAGATGATTGGCCATCTAAAAGAGTTTAACAAGCTTTTAATTGAACTGGAAAATCTTGAAGAGATAATCAAAGATGAAGACAAGGCCTTGATCGTGTTAAACTCATTGCCTGAATCCTATGAGCCTTTCGTGGCTACTTGGATTTATGGTAGGGAAACAATTAAGTATGATGAAAGCTCAAGTGCTCTTATAGATCATGAGGTGAGACACCTTGACAGGCAAGAAAGGAATAACTTTACTTTGATGGTGAGAGGGAGATCGACAGAAAAGAAGGGTTCGTATAGGGAAAATAATAGGTCTTGTACTAGAGGAGTCTCAAAGAAGAGGAAGTTCTTGGATAAAGATGAGTGTGTTTTTTGTCATGAAAAAGGACACTGGAAGAAAGACTACCCTAAAATCAAAGAAAAGACTAAAAAGAAGAAGGACGACTCAGAAGCAAATATGGTTAAAGTCAAGGATGAGGAATTTGTCTATGCCCTGACTGCACTAAGCACTGTGGATTGTACAAAATAGTGGGTGCTCAACACAGGTTGTACCCATCACATGACTTCTCAAAGGCATTGGTTTTCAAGCTTCAAAGTTATGAATGGAACTGTGTATATGAGAGATGATAACCCATGTATAACTCAAGGAATTGGAAGCATCAGGATCAGCATCATGATGGTGTGATTCGAGAATTGCATGGTGTAAGGTATGTCCCAAATTTGAAGAAAAATTTGACCTCACTAGGCAATCTCGAGTCACAAGGCACAAGTATTACTCTGATAACAACGTCCTTAAAGTTGCTAAAGGAGCACTTGTCATAATCAAAGGGCCTCAGAATGGCTTACTTTATATGCTACAAGGAAATACTTTGAAAAATGGAGTGGTTATGGTACATGATGAAGTGCTAAGTGATAAAAGTGATTTGTCTGCATTATGGCACATAAGGTTGAGACATATAAAAGAAAAAACATTGCAAGGATTGATCAAGTAAGGGTGTTTAAAAGAAGCAAGAACTGGAAAGATAGA